CAGCGGGAAGGGAAGGCAGGATCGCTGAGGGGAGCCGGGATGGCGGAACGCAGCGGGAAGGGGAGGCAGGATCGCTGAGGGGAGCCGGGATGGCGGAATCCAGCGGGAAGGGAAGGCAGGATCGCTGAGAGGAGCCGGGCGGGATCTCTCTGAGGCAGCGCCGACAGACGCCCTCTCTGGTTCCACCCCTGAGGACTTTACTCTCTCCAGGGAATTGTGACAGCATGGACCAACAATCGCCACACCATTTATTACTTGGTTGTATAAATTCACTTTATTTCAGCATTTAACAGAAGACAAAGCCCTCAATAAAAACTCAGTTTTCAACCTATACATGCTCATGCTGGTGTGTCTCCTATCATCACCCATCGCTTTCTTTTTTCTCTTGGGGCAGGGATGGAGATAATTAAACAGTTTATACTGATCCCAAGCTATTTTTTTTTCTAATTAGCTAGAAATATAAAGGTTTATTTTGTTAAGGACAGGCTGCTTATCATTCCAAGGAAGGAATCAGCACAATCTCTGTTGCTTTTCCACAACTCCCTGATACATAAAAGCTCACAGTTCCCTCTGTTCTCTATCCCCAAAATCCTGAAGAGCTTATAAACAGATTAACATACAAACGAGTTAAAGAAGGACTGTGTTAAAACAGGGATGAAATCCAAGGACTGTGTCCAGCAGAATTAAGGAGAACAGAAAATGTGCAAAAGCAGCGCTACAGCAGGCTATTGAAATTGCTTTGTACAATACATCTTTTTAACATCTTACTGGAGAAGTGCAGTCAAGGCGGAAACGTGGTACTAATTCCCCCAGGGAAACCACAGAAAAAGGAGAAAGAATATGTTCAAAAGCCCTGCTTCATAAGGAATTTTTAATGTCAGCAATTAAGAGATTAAAAACAAACCAAAGAGAGAGTTCTGAACCCAAAAGCTCAAAACCTGGGTTTTTTTCATGTTTGCTAACTTCTCCAAATCACACAAATTCTTGTTCTAGACTTTAGACATGGGGTTGTCTTGCAGTAACAACCTCTGCAGTAAACAGAATTACAGCATATGACATTAGAAAGGGGGGGGAACCCCCGAAACTGCACAATCAGATACAGAAAAAACATACTACAAATCCCCATGCCTATGAAGAGCTTAAACCTGGCATTCAAGAGTTTCTTTTGTTGTCTAAACCACGTAACAGGAATGATCTGAGGTTTGTGCGGACAACTGAAGCCCCTCCTGTGGCCTCCAGCACTTTATTGATTAAAAGATAAAGTTTCTGCCGCGTGTTTTCGGGGCAGAGGAAAGAAGGTCAGAACAAAGTTTCTTTCTGGAGCCTGCGGCGCCACCTGTAGTCACAGGTCCAAACTTAGAATAATGTTTCAGAAAGCTGTGGTATGATCACAAGTCAGTCTCATCATCGGGAAGCAAGATTGTTCTTTTCAGTTTATTAAGCAAACACCCCTGAGTAAAGAGGCTGATATCCACTTTCTTCCTTCTTGCAAGTAAGCACGCAGATGCTCAGCATGCCGAAGAACTGGAAAAGAGGGAGTGCACAAGAGACTTAGTCCTGCTGTATTTCTGTTTCAGCCGTCAGACAAAACACCCACACAGCGAATGACTTCATCATATTAAAAAAACTCGTTTAAAAATACATCTACAGAAAGTGTTATTTTTGCATACCAGTTCCCAGTAACAGTTCTGGCTTGAGTGTTTCCTCTCTGGTTTGTCCCATTCATTAATACATTCACAGTAATTACTAGCTATCTTGCCGTGGGGAAAATTTCAGTAGAAGGCTAAAATTGTTCTGGGATAAAATGTTTAAAAAATATTATAAAAAATATTTAAGCATGCCTTTGGACAAGGTGTGACAGGAATGGCTTCCCACTGCCAGAGGGCAGTGCTGGATGGGATCTTGGGAAGGAATTGCTGGCTGGGAGGGTGGGCAGGCCCTGGCACAGGGTGCCCAGAGCAGCTGTGGCTGCCCCTGGATCCCTGGCAGTGTCCAAGGCCAGGCTGGACAGGGCTTGGAGCAGCCTGGGACAGTGGAAGGGGTCCCTGCCATGGCAGGGGGTGGAATGGGATGAGTTTTAAGGTTCCCTTCTGTGGTTACTGCGCTGCAAAGAGAGAGAAAGGGCAGCAACACACACGGAGCTCTTTTGGGGAAAAAAGGCCAACTACATGTACAGACAGCCCGTATTTAAAGTGTGTTATGTGCAGCTAGGACAGGACAGTAGTTCGTTGGACAATTGGGAAAAACATTCCTGGGACAGCACCTCAGGATGGATCCCACGGGAAAGACACCAGGGGTTAATCTTTATTATGAATTCCACTCTGTTTTTCACCACGTTATCACTCTGGGAGATTTCCTCCCTAACTGAAGCTGCAGTCAGCTTGTCAGCCTGGGAATGGAGCTGAGAGACAGGAGAAATCCAGGCCTGGAAAGGATTTCCAAGCCGTAATTCCCCAGCTCTCTAAATGTGTGTGTCCACACCCTTCCCACCCAAACCATCCTGGGATTCTGTGACTCTGTATAAAATGGATTCTGCATTGAATTTCCATCCCAAATCCCCTACTATCTCTTGAATCCCTCCCATCATTGTTAGGGAGATAAACAGAGAGAGTTGGAAAAACACAAGTGAGGAACATGGTACTGAGTCTCCTTCAGAGACAGAGGAAAACTGTAGGCTATTAGGACAGTGAAGATGATAAAGGCCTGAGATCCCAAGAGCAAACAGTAGTATTTTCTACGATGGAAGAAACAGGAACGTTTACCTTTACGATGGCAAACCCCAGGATTACAAGCATGGCATAGCTGATAACGTTCTGCAGCCCAGACTCCAGCTCCTGTGCACAGCCCTGCCATGAAAGAGAGAGGTGAAAACACGTTAAAAGGTGTTCATCCAGCTGGAAGTTTTTATTATTTTCCCCCCAGCTCTCCCAAGGAAGCAGGGCTTAGTAAGGCCTAGTAAGATCTGAGGAACTCCATTCTTATCTTCCAGACCTATTGACTTATTTCCTCCTGCACGAGGAGAGGCACTGACAAACTGCAGTTTAATGACATTTGCTGCAACTGAATTTCCTCTAGCTCATGCCACTTAAACAAGCGGCCAAAACTCAGAGCTGGAAGGCCATCAAAGGTATCTATAAAAGTCGACTTAGGGCCTTATGCTCCAGACTGGAGAACCTGGTATGGAGTTAAGAGAATCACAGAATGATTTGGGTTGGAAGGGACTTGAGAGCTCATCCAATTCCACTCCCTGCCATGGGCAGGGACACCTTCCACTATTCCAGGGTCCTCCAAGCCCTGTCTAGCCTGGCCTTGGACACTTCCAGGGATTCACAAGCAGCCACAGCTGCTCTGGGCACCCAGTGCCAGGGCCTCCTCACCCTCATATCTGATGACATTGATCATCTTCTGGCTTAAAACCATTACCCCTTGTCCTGTTGCAACAGACCCTGCTAAAATGATTGACTTCATCTTCCTTACAGGCAACCTTCAGGCCCTGGCAGGGGCTCTGAGCTCTCCCTGGAGCCTTCTCTTGTGCAGGTGAGCAGCCCCAGCTGTGCCAGGCTGGCTCCAGAGCAGAGGGGCTCCAGCCCTGGGAGCACCATCCTCCTCCAGATTTGGCCTGATCAATCCCAGATGAGTCTGCTCCCCTGCTCCACATCTGTTTTAACAGCTCCAGCTATGGCACACCCCTAAAGTCTTCCTGGCGTGCTTCTCTCCACGGTTCCACCTGGCTGAAAAGGAACACGGCCCAGCTGCGAAACCAAGTCCCTCATCCTCACCCGTCTGTTGAGCTCCTGCGGCTGATCCAGATGCCCTGTGCAGTTCTTGGCCTCTTGCTGGCAGCAGCTCAGGGGGACACTGTTGTTCCCAGTGGAATTAAACCACTGGGTGGTCGTCCAGTCACTGTAGTTCTTAACCCCACAGCAGTGAAGCTACCAAAGACAGGACAGTTACGCACCAGTTACTGTTACATAACTGTAACGTAAGTGTTACCAGATTATACATATGTATTACTAGTTACATTATATATATATTTAATGTTCATCTATATGAATGCTCATGTTGAGTTAGACCCCTCTTATGCATAATAGGCCAGAGCTGCCACTAGTTTGCAGCAGATTTACAAGCAGCAGTGATTCCGGAAAACATTCATAGGAGTAATAAATCAATCCCCTTCACACATTATTACATCCTTCTTTATTCTTTGTGAAAGCTCCAGTAGGAAGGTGACAAGTTGCAGGGTCTTTCATCATCTTGCAATTTTATGGTGCAATGTTCTCAGCAGCAGTTATTCACATGTACTTATTTGCTCAGATGCAAATGTCACTCATAACAACCACATATGAGCCACGTTCCAGGACACTTTCCCACTCATCCTCTCCCCTCCTTTCCCAGCCTAAATTTCTTGTTTAGGACCAAATATTCTTTTCCAAACAATGCTTAAATATTTTCTTACCTGTTCTTGCAAGTAATCCACAACTGTAGACTCTGGGTTTTTGCCATCATACTTCTCAAACACTGAGCGCATTGTACCTTGCACATCAGTTTTTACCTGTTTAGACGGAGAAAAACAATGCAAATGGTTTTAATGGGAGAGCTGTAAATTTTATCTGGTGGAAACTGCAAACGATCTGTATCCCAAATGAGTTGGAGGGAAAATAAGAAAAATCAAGCAATGTTTTAGGCAAAATTCAGGTGGCACTGAGCCAGAATCACGTTCCTGGGTAGAACCAGAACTTGCCATCCTTGATGGAAAAGCCCTTCTTTGGGAGCATCAAAAACTGTTTAATCCAACTCAGAGACTTGTGGTATCTGCCAGGTACTTCAAATATTCACCATGTTCCTGACAAAGACATCTCCATTCCCATTTGCTCTGAGGGTGCAGGACAGGGGATGAAGTAAAAAAAAACCAGATAAATTGGAATGATCAAACAATATGAGATATATTCTTTACTTTTATGTTGGGACAGAGATGCTAATTCTTTGTTTACCTTTTCTCTGTATACAAATCCCAGGACAAAAGCAGACACTTCTGCAATGAAGATAACCAGGATAATGGCCAAGAACTGAAAATAAAAAGAGAGACAGTAAGAGGGAATCCCACAGTACTTGAATTCAGCTGCACAATACACTTCATATTAATTTACAGCAGTAAGTCATCATTATTGCCTTACCAATCAAAATAGTTCCCAGAAAATAAGAAAAAGCTGTGGCTGCTTCACCCCTGAAATTGTTCAAGGCCAGGTTGGACAGGGTTTGGAACAACCTGGTTGCATTGTTTGGTCTCTGGAAGCTGTCGCTGCCCATGGAAAAAGGGGTTGGAACTGGATGAGATTTAAGGTCCTTTCCAACCCAAACCTTTTGGGGATTACTGTGGCTCCACAGGCTCTGTGCCTGCTCCTGAACACTGCCATGACATGAGCTGTGTGACGAGCCCATGGAACACTTCAGAAAAGGTGGATGTCAAAGGGGAGAGCACACTGATAAACCAGCAGCTGAGTTAGTACACTGCTCTGCTTGCTGGGCTCACACTGCCTTCAGGGCATGGAGTTACCCTGAGTGAACCTTTCTGGATTTTTAAAAGTAGTTCTATGAGCAGTCAAGGTATGCTTTCAGCACTCAGAGGACTTAAGTCAGCATAAAAACTGATACACATCTGGTTTGCTTGCTTAGAAACTCCTATTTCCTCCTGTTCCTTCCCCACCTCACTCCTCAAAACCGGCTGCTTCCCGCACTCATCCTCACCGAGCCAGCTGAGGCCAATCAGAGCATCTCAGCCGTGGGTGACTCGAACAAGCAGCACTTCAGCAGCGTGTACCACCACCACCACCACCACCACCTTTCGCTCCGTTTGCCCTCCCGAGGCCCAGCCCAGCGCCTTCCCTGGCAGGAGGAGGCAGCCGGCGCACACACTCACCAGCCCCAGGCCGACCCGGGACTCGCGGAAGGTGGCGCAGCAGCCGATCAGCCCGATGATGAACATCACCACGGCCACGCAAATGATGATCACGGCCGGCAGCAGGGCGTACTTGTCCTGCAGAAAGTTGTCGTAGCTCTTGTAGGTGTTGATGACATACGCCCCGACGTAGCTGAGGCCTGCAGCTGCCGCCTGAAATGCAATAAGGAAAAGTGATTAGCCGTTACTTATCAAGCCTCTGTCCTGGAAACTAATCATGGGTTGTTTTCTAGAAGTGAATTTAGAAATAATGGCTACAGTGTGCAAAGAACTAGGTGAAATAAATGCTGCATCTGAAACTGTTACCTAATCCAGCTGCACATCCAAACCTGAACACAGAGAAGACAAAATTCACTGCATCAGTCCCCTGTTAATAAGGCACCACTGGAGCTGAGCTGAAAGGCTGGAGTCTGCAGGCCTGCATCAGTGTCTCTGCAGAATGCCAAGCTCACACTGCCTACCCTGGGTCGACTACATCCCACCCAAATCTGTGTTTGCAGGAATCAGACCACCACAGTGAGCTGCTGGTTTGTGGCTTTTTTGTTGTTGTTGTTGTTTTTGGTTTGAGAAAAAACCTCATACTTCACACTCTCACAACAACATTAACCACTTAGGCAGGCACAAATGTACCTAGTCTCAGTAAAACAGGCTCCCTCCTTTTCCTGGAGGAAAAAGATTTCTGCAACCTCTAAAATAATCTCTCTCCCAGAAGGACTTTTTTGCTGATTGAGGCCAAGGTAGAGTCCACCAGTAGCAGTTGTCCTGGAGACCAAAGACTTTTACCCACTGGACTGGGTACAGCCCTGGAAAAAACACCAAAAGACTCAGCCATGCCCTGCCAAGCCTCACTGATGGCACAAAAAAATTCTCTCAAGAGTCAGGATGGCTCATCCACGCTCTGTAGCCCTACAGCACAAGGAAAATGAAGCACCCTCCATATTCACCTTCTGGAAACTTAAGGGAAACCAGCTGGTTTGTTTTCAACAGGTCACAGCAGGATTTCATCACACAGCCTTGGAGCAGTTTGTTACTTCCCCAGCACTGTACGTTTTAATTAAATCAAACACTTCTCATGCTGGAGCTAGGACTTGCTAATTCCTTTACCTTGTTTGGCTCTTTCCCCTCCAGCCAGGTCTGCTGCCTGCCCTTCAATTACCTCCAAGTGCAGGAACCTCCTTTGTTTCAGACAGCTCCCATCCCATAATCTCACATTCCTGGATGCTGTCTGTACCCCAGAATTACTGGGGACAGATGCACCAAGTGATGAAATCAGACATTTTTCCCCTGCCCTGCAAGATCCTGCTGCACTGGGGCTCAGATACAGCAGCTCCTCTACAAAGTGGGTTATCAGGAAAATGATCATCAATTCTCAACAGGTTATTTGTTTTTCTTCTCCACACGCCCTGGGATTTCAGATATGCTAACGATTAAAGTGGTTCCTAAAGCTTCCTTTCATTTTTACTCTCACTGAAGAAAATCTATTTCCTATTTCCCTGATTGCAGGCGTAGGATGATCCTTTTTAGGGATGCAGGGGAAAGGATCAGACCTTTGTGCATCTCAAAGGGCAGAAGTAAGAAGGCAGAATCCTTTCCCTTCCCCTCAAAGGAAAGGATTTATCTCAAAGGGCACCACTGCCTTCTCACTTCACAGGAATCAGGTGTTGAGGAGGAGCAACCTCACCTCCTCCAATACTCTGTTCCTGAATTGAAAGTGGGATGGGAAGAGTCCTTGGAATGGCAGCAGCAGTAAAGGTGGAGGTGGGGACACATCACCTCCATCCTCCTTTGCCTTCAGTTGCACAGAAGGAATGAAGGGCCAGGACTCAAAAAGCATCTCCAGCATTTCTGGCCTGGAAGGCTGGGTGCATGTGTCTGTTCACCTATTCTCTGCTCTGGAACAGCATCATCTGGGCAAGGACAGCCACGGAGAGGCAACCAGAGCTATGCCAGGGCCTCAGCACCATCAGAGGGAACGATCCCTTCCCAATATTCCGTCTCACCCTGCCCTCCAGCAGTGGGAAGTCATTCCCCTTGTCCTGTCACTCCAGTGTCTTGTCCAAAGTCCCCTCCACCACGGTGGAGAAATATCCTTCACTTCTCATCCATACTTCATTTCCCACCCATTTCCAGTCTGCTCAACACACAATACCAAGGAAGCAGCACAGGACATGCTGAAGACCAACCAGCTGTGGGGAGCTAAGGAAAACCTTGCTGCAGGTAAAAGACTGCCACAAATTAAGAAAAAAAAAATAAAAAAATAATGAAGCCAGTTCACAGAAAGCTCCGAAAGCCAGGATCAGCAAAGCTCCATGATGGCAAGACAAAGCCAGAAGGTCTAGTGTTAAGTTCAAGGACCTTAAATATAAAGGACTTTCACAGTGGGTTTTATTGCAATATTCAGGACTGCCTTGTTTCTAGTCAGAGACAAAACACAAACAGACAAGAAGCCTATTAAAATTTCCAAACTTCTGCTTCCAAGCAGAAAAAGGAAGTGTAATGAGGCAAAACCAGAAGTCTTCGGGAAAAGACTTAAAGGAAGATGGCATTTTTCCCCACAGATAATGCCACAACTTCACCCATGATTTTTAATTCAGTGGGAAGAATCCTGAAGCCTGAAGAGCAGGGTCACTCAGAAGGCATCACAGCTAATGATGTCTTCCCTCATTTTTATAGCTGAGTTCCAGAGACAAGTTTTGAAAGCAAAGATGAAAAATATTTCAGAACTTAAATCAGAACTCTTCCCTTAAGCTTTTCCAGAATTTAAGGCAAATTCAAAAGCCAGTGGAGGGATTTTTTCACCCCAAGATCACAAACCCTACAGCCATTCCTAGATCTAAGGGGAAGATGTACTAGGATGTACTTCTCTAGAAGTACAAGTCTTTTGCATTGCAAAAGATGGATCTCAAAGTATGTCTGATGAGGTTTCTGTTGGATGTCAAGAAAAAAAACAATCTCACAAACACAAAGACCAGTTTGAGCGATTACTTTTGAGGAGGAACAGACCAAATACCTCCTTTTGCACGATCAGTCAGCCACCTTCTCAAACCCACTTAAATTGTACACCCGGATGCCAGGATTACACCAAGAAATTCACGCTGCAAACAGCAGTTGTCCTTCACACTTTTTGTCACTCTCCTGCTTGGCAGCTTACTTGCAGCCAGGTCTGGATGTTCCGCATGCAGGGCACAAACCCTGGCAGGGGCAGCCAGAGAGTGAACTCAAGGCGGGTACAGGAGAACCACCTCCCCTGGGCCACCAACAGCCAGCACAACTCCCACAGCTGACCCTGTCCTCCCCACGCAGCCCCAGCTGACTTCACCAGGGCTCCAGGAAACTGCTGCTGTTTCTTTACTACGCTGACGACTTCCTTGAGACAAGATGACGAGATGAGGCAAACGGAAATTTTGCAAGAAAACCCCTTTTCACAGCTGGGCGACAGAGCTGCTGCCTCACCCACCACAGCTCACACCCTTCAAGGACCTAACAACAGAATCGCTCGATTTTCATATCCCACGCCCTTGACAGAAAGCACAAGAACTATCTGAGCATGAAAAGTGAACTCCTTGGGGCTGAGCGAGAAGAAAGGTGAGCTGTGACAGTCACCAGATTTTCCCAGGCTGAGGTTTGGGCAGGGCCTGGGCTGACCCAGGACTTGCACGCTTAGCTGAGCCAGGGAAGCAGGTGCACAGAGTACAAACACAAAAAAGGGGGGACTCAGTCACGTAGCACACACACAGCACCGTGAATATTCAATCCTGCCCATGGAACAGAAGCCTGGACTGCCTCACTGATAAAGAACAGGACAGCTGCTGGAAAACACTAATTTAATGTATTTTTAAAAATACAACAAGCCTCTTACTTTGTGTTCCATGTTTTTATATGCTGATGACAGTAAGCCCCTACCCTTTTCAGGAGGCTTATAGCCATGCAAATATTCATGCCACCTAATCACAGACATAGAAGAGGCTGCTTAAAGCTTCCTCTATACCACTGCTGTGAAATACATGCAAATTTTATATATATATATATATATCTTTCTTCTTCTATCAGTGAGGCAGAACAGGTGCTTTTCCACCTTTACTTCTCTGTTTTCACAGGCCAACCTTACATGGTGGCCGAGAACAGAGATCACTGTACATTCACAGTTATCAGCACAGGCTTCTTTGTCCCCTGCCAAACCCAGATAAGGTACAGCAAAGGAGCCAAACTACCAACTATGATGTTAAAAGGCAGTGTCTGCTGGTTGGAGGATTTAGGGTACTTTTTAAAAAGGTTTCTCCCAGCATCCTCTCATTTCATAGTGTTGGTTCTATGACTCGTCTGTTACTATAAACTGGTAGGAGACTTTCTTTTTAAAAGGCTGGACAATTAAAAATACACAGTAACAAAGCTGTAGCGTTAAAAGGAGAATCTTAAGAACAGGGTGAATTTTGAATTCATGCCATGTGTCCAGCAAGATGCAGCCTCTGTACAGTAAAAAAAACAAGGCTATGAAACTTAAAGACATTTGTCCTTTGTCCAGTGGGACTTTCCCAGGGCCAGCAGTAATATCCACCAAAGCACTAAACTCAGGCTGGCTGGACTTTGTCCTGTATCATTGACTTTTTATGTGCAAAGACAGGTAAGATAAATAGTACTCCTTTTTTTGTGACACAGTAAGAGCGATTGTCTTCAACAGCAAAGTACTGCAAATACAAACTGGAAGAACCATGAATATCCACACAAACCTTTTCTGAACCACTGCCACCTAATTCATCGTTAGAGAGTCAGCTCACAGTGCTGCCTGTGTTAATTTTAGGGCTCAAATCCTGCTTTTTCCACCAGCATCTTCGCACAGTCAGCTCACAGAGTTGCCTGAGTTAATTTTAAGGCTCAAATCCCACTTTTTTCACCAGCACCTCTGCACAGTCAGGGCTCCTCACCCAGTGCAACACCTGATGCTGGTGTTTTGCCTTCCCATTCAAGACCTGCCTTCACTGGGATGCTATCACCTTTTCAGCAGTTTCAGCAGACAGAATGGGATATGTCACCTTCAATTATTACTTTGCCAATTACACTTATTACTACTGTGCTGCCCACATGCCTCTCATATCCAGAATCAACCTACGCTGGTCTCAGTTACAGCTGCCCATTCTCTCCTTAACACAAAACAC